AGCAAGTTTATTGTGAGTCTTTGTCCACACATCATAAAATGTTGACTCTCCTTTGTGTTTTTCCGAGCATGAATGTTCTTAACAGATATAAAGAAATGAAAGAAGTGTGAGGTTAGTGATAAAATCCTGATATAAACTACCATTTGAAAGTGTTTCATTAAATTCTTCAATCTGTGCATAGTACAGATGGAAATTGCTAATCCCCACTCCCCCCAGCCTCCCCCATACCCTCCCCATTCTATGTCTCCTTTGAAAGGGGGCTGGGGCAGAGGGAGTTGCCATTTGCTGAGTCATCTTAAACACCCCTACTCTATCATTCCTACATCAAAACCAAAGCATTCAAGTTACCAACTGCGGAGTCAATTAGAGTGAGTTTGGAGGCTCTTTACTCTAGGAAGAACTAATGAGATGGAATCCACGCCCTAGATTTTCAATTGTGTTTTGTGACTTCAAAAGAAAATTCCTGAGTTAAGCTATTCCCCATAGTTTACAAGTGCTTTTTTTCCTTCTTCAAAAAATGTACATAATTTTTTCACTTCTAAGCATTGCCTAAAACTTCAGTAGGAGAAATTCTAGACTCCTTGATTTCTATGCAGATGATCCAAACCAGATGACCAGGGTCTTTCAGTGGAATCAAGAAGTATATTTAGCTCCCGCAGGCTGGTGGTACCCAGAGCTCAGAGGCAAATGCTTTCCAGAAAGATGTGTGTATACCACAAAGGGAGAGCATCCTGTAATAGTCAATACTGCACAATGAAGCAGGGAGACACACACACACACACACACACACACACACACACACACACACACACACACAGAGAGAGACAGAGACAGAGACAGAGACAGAGACAGAAACAGAGAGATCCGAGCTCAGTCTTCAGTTTTGTTCTGTTCCTTGGGAGTCTAATTTCCCATGAGAGACTCAGTAGAGAGTTTCTGTCCGTCTGTCTCCACCCCCCACCCCGTGTAAGTCTTTAAATTCCACACTAATCTTGTGTTTTATTTCTAGATTCTTGGTTTGGTGTTTTCTATGGTGCTGTACTGCCAGATTGGGAGCAAATGAATCCTCGGATTTACCAAGTTATTATATAAACACCATTTAAGTTTTGGCTTTGGCTTTGTAACTTTAAATAAGTGAGTACTGTAAATATCAGTAACAAAAGTCTTATTCTAATGTCTTGCCTAGGTAGACTACAGATATCCTCACATGTGTTTAGCATATTTAAATCTGGGGGGGCATAAGAAAACATGAATGTGTATTTTTTTTCTCTCAAAATAAAAAGTGTTTATGTTGATGCTTCTTTGGTGTCTGGTCATTGTGTTCAGGTGGCTCTGTGCTTCTGGCGACGTTCATCTGGATCTATGCAGTGGAATAACTTCATTTCTAAGTGACAAGAGAATTGTAGGGCAGTAAATCTGGGATTTTTCAAAAGCACTGATTTTTCAAAAACCCTTTTCATCGGGTATATCAATGACTGATGATGAGATTGTCTCAAGTTGAAATACTGAAGAATGATCCAGATGTGTAAATCACCATCTTTTTTATTGTTATGGTGTCTGTGTTTTGCTTCAGATGTACTATAAGTGCCGATAAACAAACAAACAAATAAATAAATAAGAGCGCCCATATCTCACTAGGGTCTATCACACCCCTCTGGATCTTCTTATTGAACACAACAGCTAAAACTAAATTTTCTTTGTAGTTAGTAGAAAAACGTTTTTAATTTTACATTTTACTGAAATGTAACATGAAGCAAAATTAATAACTCTGGGGTTGTGCCCGAGTGCGGGCAGAAATGGAAAAGACGATCTCAAAGCCAGACTTTGAGAAAAGGGTACAAACGTGGTGAAAATACTAATGAAGGGATTTTAGAATCTGTGTGAGAAATTGTGCAGTTTCTCCCATTTTTTCCCCCTCTTGGCTAAAGTTGATGGTATTTAAAAGACAGGGAAGACTTGAGAGCAATTGTTCTAAATTGGGGCCATTTTCCCCTGAGGGAATATCTGTCAATGTCCGGAGACACTTTTGGTTATCAGCATTGTGGGCAGAGGAGGGTGTTACTGGCATCTGGTGAGCAGAAAGCTAGGAATATTGTCACTCTCTACCGTGCACTCGAGCTTGTCCAACAGCTAAAACTATCCAGTGCAGAATGTCGGTCGTGCTGTGCAGGGTGGAGAGAGCCTGAGTAGACAGCCATCTGTGACAGCAGCAGCAGCTGCAGTAAGGAGCCTTACCTGGATACAGTCTTCCGAAGCATGCATTACAGGAACCTAGATCCCAGCAAGAGCTTTGATAACTTGTTAGCTTTGCGACCTTCATGAGTCTCTTGAATTTCCTCTTCTTTAGGTAACAACTTTTATCAGGAAGACATTAAAATTTACAGACATTACTCTGTGAGTATCAGCTTCTGAAACACATCCAGGCTTCTGCTTTGGCTGTTTTAAAATGTTTATTTTCTTTTGATAATTTGCTTGCTTTTTATGTTTTGGTTTTTTTTTTTTTTTTTGCTCTGGATGTGATTACAAGGGAAGCTTTTACTTTGAATGATGTTAAATTCTGATTTAAAAATAAATTCATCTCTTACTTCTTGGCTGCAAGAACAAACTAGAATATTACAAAATATATGAAAATTTTTGCTTTTCGAGATAGTGTTTTTCTGTATTGTTTTGGAGCCTGCCCTGGAACTCGCTCTGTAGACCAGGCTGGCCTTGAACTCACAGAGATCTGCCTGCCTCTACCTCCTGAGTCCTGGGATTAAAGGTGTGTGCCACCAACGCCCGGCAATATTTGAAATTTTTTAATCACTTAAGAATCATAGCAAGAACAAAATGAAAAGAATTTCCCCCACTAAACTGCTAATTCAGTGAAAATGAAAATGTTTCCCCAATTCAGAGTATAGGTATTATTTTTCAATATGTTTATGATTATACACGGTTCCTATATTTGGATATAGGAAATTCAAACCAAGGCTTAGACGTGTTTCTCAGATCTACTCACTTCTCTGTTTCCCTTCACTACCATCCTTTTTTTTTTTTTTTTTTTTTTTGGTTTTTCGGGAAAGGGTTTCTTTGTGTAGTTTTGGGGCCTTTCCTGGCACTCGCTCTGGAGACCAGGCTGGCCTCAAACTCACAGAGATCTGCCTGCCTCTGCCTCCTGAGTGCTGGGATTAAAGGCATGTGCCACCAAGCCTGGTTACCGTCCTATTTTTATGGTCTCTCCTCACATAAAATTGCTGTAATAATCACCTCTTAAAATATTTCATTTATTATTCATTTGTGTGTATGTGTGTGCATCTGTTCAGGTGTGCACCAGGCTCCATGGAGGTCAAACACGGGCATTGGGTTCCCCAGAGCTGGAGTTCCAGGTGAGCTGTTTGGTATGAGCAAGTTGGAAACTGAACTCTGGTTCTCTGCAAGCACAGCAAGTACTCTTAACTACTGAGCCCTCTTTCCAGCCCCATTGCAATAATCTTTCAATAGGCTTTTCCACACTTATTTTACATCCTTAAAATCCATTGACTTTGGTTGCACTGGAGTCATCTGTCTAGAATACAAGTGTTACTATGTCATTTTGTTTGCTCAAGTTCTAGGATATGTTTATGGTCAACTGTAGTTTATAAAGTTCGTCATCAGAGCCAAGTCTGTCTTCCCCGATCCTCTCTAGGCTCTTTTCCATGTATACCCCCCAAACTTTCCCATCTTTGTCTGGTTCCCACACTGTTAGTGATCATCATATCATTTAGCTGGGTACCTTGAGGTCTAACTGAAGTCTCACCTTCCTTACGGTGCATTTCTGGGTCCAATCAAGACTGAGTTAAGCTTTCCATTTAAATACACAAGTCCTCATATGTCTTAGCTATTTTTGGTCTGTATTTAATTACTGGATTTGATGATGCCTGAGATCCTGAATTGAACTTGTATAACAATCCTAGCATGGTAACTAGAATACATTAACAGCTCAGTCAGTATATGCAGTTTTTATTATCACCTGGTTCATTCGAAAGAACATAGTCATGCTGACTTTAAAGATGGTTCATTGAAGATCAGGGTTTACTTACAATGTGTATGCCTATACATATTAATACACATACATATGTACAGCTAGTGTACAAGGTAACTGATAGATATTATGTTAATATTACATATTTGCCAAATTACTTATTATATACAACATATATATATATATATATATATATATATATATATATATATATATATATATTATTCTTCAAAAGAATTCGAGCTTGTTTGAGTCTCACAACAATTCTCTAATTAAAGCTATTCTTAGTGTTCAGAGGAGGAAACTGAAATACAGGGAAGCTAAGTATTCTATACAAATTTATAGGACCAAGATGCAAACTCAGGTACCCTGGATCCACTTTACATTATTAAGCCCCAGTACATATCCTGGAGAAAAAGTTGATTTGACTAAAATTTGAGTTTTAGGTTCTTTCCTGAGAGGCCAAATTGCTAGGGATATTGTATGAACATCTGGCTACATTGACAGAATGTCATAAATGCAACGGAGTGTCTTCCCCTCTCCTCATCCTTTGATGTCCCATGTATGTCCCATCATGATGTTTACCTCACTTTTGTTTTCCAGGCCATATCTTTTATCTGAGGAGGATCAATTTGATAAAAGAAATGCATTCCTTCTTACCTATATGATCTACCCATTTATAGCTTGGCAAATAGTAGATGCTTAACCAAACAATGTCTTTTGAATGAGTAAGAAGTAGATTTTATATTTTAAAAGACATTAAAATGGCCACACTCACAAAAGACAGTTAATAAGGTATGTCAACTACAGTCAATTAATTTGACCTCCAAAATAAGATGAGACTATAGTGTTATTTTCCATGAGAAGAGTTTGTTTAATTACCACTTACATCTTCTTCTGTTACCATGAATGGTGACTGCAGGCTACAGAATCTGTAAGCAGATTCCAATCATGGCTTCATCATCCAGGAGTCGAGTGATACTGGACATGTTCCTGTGACTCATCCAAGAACTGAGGATGAAGAGATGAGTCTCTACAGAGCGGCCATGGTATTAACTAAGATAACACACACAAGTTGTCAGTACATATAGTATGGTTAGCACTCAGTAAGTGTCAATATCTACAACATCATGATTATATAAATTACTACAATTAAATGACTTAAAAGGCATGTGCATTTCATTTTGGATTAGGAAGCTTCTTCAGACTTCAAAGAAAGTTTGGACCATCAAAAACTTCATTTTCAAAGCCATGTCATTTGAAATAGATTTTGACAACAACTCCCTCAAGAAAGGTTAAATCCTCTGCTCAGAATTTCATTCCAAGGCTGCCCTCCAGATAGTGTGTTAGGTAGTAGAGCCTAACAGACAAAGCAGAGACGGGGCAGAGAACAGAACCTCAGCCCAGGAAAGGCAGTAAGTAAAAAGGAATCGGGCTGGCCATCTTCTGATGTTTAACAGCATGTGTCAGGAGGAGCAGAGAGAGGGCATGTTGGGCTCTGTTGGCAAGCAGAAACCTAAATAAGTCACGTCCTTAACACAACCTGAGCATCGATTGTGGCAAAGCCAAGAGCAAAATAACTAGCTGAGGCGAGCACAGCACCACACCTGGCTCACGGGGGTCTCCAAGAGTAAATCTGTGACACGATTTCAAATGATTCCAATAGAACATGTTGTTCTCAACAGAAATTGTTGTTTCTGGAAAACAGGTTAGGGTTCTCAGCAAAACTAAAGATGAAAACTATTAGGAATCTTGTAAACAACCCAGAAAGTATTAACTAGTTCATAAACAAAGGGCATAACTGACATCTAAACTTTTTAGTTAAAAAATAAACATTGATACAGAATTGGGAAATTAACACATACTAAACCAAACAAGCATGTCTGATACTGAAATAAACTAGGTACCAGTAAGTGTGTAGTGATGGATAATAAGCATTAGAATGTGGCCAGCTCTTGCTAAATTAAGGATGAGTGGGTCTCATGGACCTACAAGCTGGAACTGTGCTCTATAAATTGGACCTTGGCTGGCTCTGTGTGATGCTAGTAAGTCTCCAATACCTTATTTTTTTTCTTTTAAAAAATCTTAGATAATTATTCCTCAGTGGCTCAAAAGTCTTCACTTTGGAAAATTACTTTCAAAAGATCCAAAGATCTTATAAATGCTTAGATAGAAGAAACAAGTTTCCAAGAGAAAAGCCAACTTTCTTTTCTTAAACACATCCAGCCATAA